ACATGGAGAATAGAAACTCCCATACACGGTTGGTGGGGATGTGAAATGATCCAATTACACTGGAAAACATTCTGGCAGTTTCTTAAAAATTTAAACACCTGCTAATCATCCAGATATACATGGAGAATAGAAACTCCCATACACGGTTGGTGGGGATGTGAAATGATCCAATTACACTGGAAAACATTCTGGCAGTTTCTTAAAAATTTAAACACCTGCTAATCATCCAGATATTCCGTTCTGGGTAGATACCCAAGAGAAATAAAGGTATATGGGGGTTTTTTTTGTTTTGTTTTTTGTTTTAAGATTTTATTTATTTATTTGAGAGAGAGAGAGTGAGAGAGCATGAGAGGGGAGGTCAGAGGGAGAAGCAGACTCCCCATGGAGCTGGGAGCCTGATGTGGGACTCGATCCCAGGACTCTGGGATCATGACCTGAACCGAAGGCAGTTGCTTAACCGACTGAGCCACCCAGGCGCCCCCAAAGGCGTATGTTAATACAAAGGCTTGTACACAAATGTCAATAGCAGCTTTATTTGTAATCGCCCCAACTGGAAACACTTCCAGTGTCTGTTAACAAGTAAGTGGATAAACAGATTGTGGCATATCCAAACAGTGAAATCCTACCACGGAGCAATTAAAAAGGAATGAACTGTCCACAGACAATGCAACATGGGTGAATTTCAATTTAATTATGCCGAGTGAAAGAAGACAGACAGAAAAATTACCAGCTGTATGATTCCATTTATACAAAGTTCCAAAATGGCAAACTAATCTGGAGCAACAGAAATTAAGTCAATTATTTATGGAGATGAGCATGGGGGTGAGGAGGGGCAGGAATTTTGTGGGGAGTGAGGTTTACATTCATTATCTTGATTGTGATCATGATTCATGATTGTATATATAAGTCAAAACATTCCAAATTTTAATCTCAAAATAACTAGTATTTTATATGAAAGTTATATGTCAATAAAGAGTTTTGTTTTGTTTTTAAGACATTATTAGCAGGCCTGAGGACTGTTCCTCCAGAATATGGCTAGATGGCTGGATGGAGATGGCTAGATGGGTGGATGGAGACAGTTGGATGGCTGGATGGAGATGGTTAGGTGGCTGGATGGAGATGGCTAGATGGCTGGATGGAGATGGCTAGATGGCTGGATGAAGACCCAGTTCTTCAGACAATTTTTCTAGCTGCCTTTACTCTCACAAGAATCAGTGTTTTCTTTTCAGAAGTTCGTGAATCACCCCTGTCACTTGTAAAACTAAGAATATGCTCTTTCCTGCATGTGAGACAGCCTTACAATCTGTTTGGATAGTCTCAAAAAGTAACAATTGAGGCTTCAAGTCTTCCTACTACTAGACCCAGATTGCTCAGTCTTGTGTTTCTAGTTGTCCAGTGAAGGTTCTACCAGGTTTCATCCCATCCACTCCCCGATCTAGAGGGTGAGATCTTACCACACCTAGCTTTAGTTCCCCCAAATCATCTCATGTTAGAGGAAGAACAGCTATTCTACAAATATCCAGAGGATACAAGGAGAACGATCTCTGCCGCACTCTGTGTGGGTCTCTGCTATGCGTGTTACTGACTCTCTAAGAGGGTGAGAAGTGGAAATTAGCTTGATTCTCTCCCCAGTCCTGCAGTGGCTAGATGACAAACACTATTTTCAAATCTTCCATGTTCTTTAGTGAAGATGAGGTACCCTGGAAAGTTCCCCTTTTAGGGCCTAATCTGACTGTGAATGTTAGATGAATATTTAAGATTGTTTAACTCTCACGAGCAAGTCATGCCAACCTTTAGCGAGGGACTATTTCACAACCAAGTAAACAAAACTCACTAATCTTCTTAGATACCTTGTATCTTTGAGTTCCCTCAGACCAGGGCCTGCCCTCACCCTTGGTCATTAAGAAATCAAGAAATCTGATCTTTCATAGAGTTTAAAAGACAGAACAACAGCTCAATTAAAAGTTAAACACACCATTAATCAGAGGTCCCAATGAGTACAACTCATTTTTTATTAATTGTATGTCTAAGATAGGAAATGTTTTCAAAATGAAAATTACTAGAGAAAAAATAAAAAGACAAAACAAACAAACAAACAAAGCAAAGGGCTATTTCTGAAGACCTAGCATTCTGGAGATCAAATGAGGGTTCTTTAAGAGATAATTATTAATATTATCTAGTGCTTAGTACATGCCAAGATTTGTCCTAAAAACTTTAAATCTATTAAATTATTTAATCCTCACATTTTTTTCAAGGACAGTGCTTATAAAGAACCCTTTTACCAATTAGGAAAATGAAACCCAAAGAATTTAAGTGCCTTGTGCCAGGTATACAGAAAGTAGAAAGTGGTGTGATGAGCATAGACCCTGCAACAGACACATGGAAGTCTAACACCTTACATGTGTAAGGTGTTTCTCATTTCTCAGGCATAATAATTCACATTGGGAGCCCCTGCCCAGAGGCAGCTTTCCCCTAGGTTGTGATCCAGTGAACCTAACTTCTTCTATCTGGTCTTTGTCATTCCTTAAAACCCTGTATGTATGCGCAGCAAACTGTAAGAAAGACACAACAGAGGTCACCACGACAGTTCTTGCCCCTGGCCTGGTATGCCTTACTGTCAATAATGTTCCAGAACGTGGCCGTGATATAGAACTACCAGCAGCGGTTGTTAAATGTAGTTAAAGTCCATGCCCAGAATGGAGAGCAAAATAGATTCTGGGCAAGAACCAGTTTCCTCTGCCACCTATAATTCTGGTTACAAAATTACCCAATGGCTCCCTTCCTTCCCACTCTCAAAACATGCTCCTCTCATCAAAGGAAACAGCTCCACCCAGTCCATGTACCTGTTTTAAAAAACTAGGATCTCTGAGTGTAGGCAGTCTACTTCATCCCTTCCAGTCGTGATTCCTAGTGGTCAGAGACCTCTGAATTAAACAACAGCAGCTACAGGGAAAAAAAAAGTGTATTTTCCATCACCTCCTATTCTCATTTATGTATATTCAAGGAATATAGCAGCAGTCCTTGGTCTACAAGGATAATGGAACTCCATAGGGCCACCATCATGGCCACTTCCTGTGCTGTCAGCTAACAAGGTTCACTGTAGAGACCCTGGATCAACATGGGATGAGCTCCTTGTCCATTTGTCTCCTACAGCCCTGACTTCAGTGTGGGGCTGCATAGAAACCCCATCAGTCTGGCTCCTATCCTATTACAGGAAGCAAATAATAGGCATATGTACATACTGATCTCAGGAATAATTTGCTCAGAGATAAAAAGGACTTGTCACCTGGCTTGCAAGAATATAAAACAGAGATAAGACATCTACGCCCATTAGATACATA